GGACTTTGGTTCCAGGAGCTTCTCTGTGAATACTCAAGGTACTCATAACCAGAAATTAACTACACATAGGCAAAGATCACCATCATCTGCAGTGGACGGTAACACCCACCTCAAAACAGAATGCCAGCTCTTCACTGAGCACGAGGGTTGGAGGTTCATTCCTGATACTACAAGGGCCCCTCTCTCCTTGTGTTGCCGGTGGAAATCCAGTCGTAAACGTTGCATTGGAAACAAATAGTCCATTAGGCACAATATAGTCCTTTAGATCTTCATTTTAGAATAGTCATTACTCTGGGGTATGCTAGATTAAAGCCACAGCATTTCCTAGTTCAGGAATACTGTCATTGTCATTTTCACCTTGACACTGTGTCAACGGGTGGTGGTAGAGTTGGTGGTGATTGTATGTGCCAGGTCTGCTGGTGCCTTTTTTTCCCTAAATTGACTCAGTGTACCAAAAAAAACTTAACATCCAGCCCAAATGACTTGTCAATAATAATTTCCACATAAACATATAAAAGATATTCTATGGTATATGGGTTTTTTAAGTGCCTTTTTTTTTTTTTTTTTTTGGTATTTTTTGTGACATTCCTTAACATCTACCAGGCATTCTGTGTGACATGCTCGTGCCAGGAGTGACAAACCCCCAAACTCTGCTATCCCCAGGATGGTGATAGCAAGTATGGCAGTCCCTACGTTTTAGCTCTCAGGCTCATTAAATATAGATGGAGAGTAAGTAAATATGAACAGTGTGTGGCACACAGAGTGTGTAATGTGTGGGGCTGGCCCACAGGAACTGGTAGGTGTGGTGGGCAGTAAAAACTAAACCAGAGAAAGTGGCAGGAAAGCACAGGGTGTGCTGGGGGGGACACCGAGTCCACCACTTTGCGTGGACCTGTGTGCCCATATAGACTAGGAGCAGTGGGAGAGCTTGCTAGAAAGATGCGTGGGACTCTGACTGCACAGAGCCCTGGGTGGCAGGCAGGGGAGGCCGGCCTTTATCCAGGAATCAGAGGGAGCCACCAGAGACAGCCAGTAACATGATGAGAGCCACATGCTGAGGCTTCCAGAAGGGATGTGCTGAAAATGTTACACTTAAAAGCTAAATTGAATATGAAGGAAAACTGGAAATAGGGTGATTGACCGTCTAGTCTTATAAATTGTCTCTTATTGACAGATAAAATTCATCTGAAACACAGCTACCTTCCTCCTGGATGTAAATATCCCACGTGAATCAAATCAAGAAGCAAAGAGTAATAGAACTGTTACTGTTCTGACAGTAAGAGATAGGATGTAAGATGGTACAATATACCCTCACTCTGCCACTTCTGAATCCCAAAATGCATACATCCCACCACAGCATGTCATTCTTCCCTTAAGATGCAGATAAATAGGCCATCATCAGAGCGGCCACCCATGCAGCAACAAGTTGAAAGTTATAATGCCACTTAGCGATGTGTCTGTGGAGTCCTCAGCTGTGCCCACCTGCCATGGGCTGCCCCCCACCTGCCTGGCGTAGCACAAGCCACTCACTCTGTGCCTCAACAAAATGACACTCGAAATTCTTGTCATGAATGGAGTCCCTTTAAAGTCATCCTTTAAAAAAAAAAAAAAAACCTTTCTCTAAAGTGAGTTTCAGGTAAGCCTAATTCTTTTACCTTGACCTCACATAGCGACACCCAGATTGCCCTCCCATCACAACAGAAAAAAATCCTGGCCTCATATTCTTGCTTCATCGCTGACAACATCCCATCTCCTAAGAGTAAGAATCAGCTTGTTTCTCTCTCTTTCTCTCTCTCTCTCTCTCTCACACACACACACACACACACACACACACACTAGTTCTTTAACTCCCTTCAGGAGTCAAGTGGCCACCGCAAAAGCTTTCCACGTCTCAAATTCTGTCTTGAGCACCAACCATAAACACTCCAGTTGGCCCCGGCTACCTCCTCACCAGGCCCTGTAGCTTGGAAGTGTTTCTCTTCACTACTGCCCTCTCCTCGCCATTGTGGGAAATATATTAGCCCTTCAGGAGTCCCTAGTTGTGAAGGTGGCGGAACCAGCTCTAAGTGACCTTGGGTATCTGGGATTGGTTATGAGAACAGGAAGAGGGGAGTTCCTTTAGGTCAATTTCAACTGCAAGTGGCTTCTTTTCTGAGTTTATAGACCAAAGTCAGCTGACTATTGTAAATCAAAATACATATTGTAATTGGCATCTGAGCATATTATAATTGACATCTCAGGTAAGTGTTTCCTAATGAAATGTCATATTTAATGGCTAATTCTAAAGTTTTGAAAATGCTAAATTGAATCCAGCATTAACCATGTTTTCCTCATGTTCCACTCTAATCCAATATTGGGAAGTGACTAAGTACTTATTTTAAAATTAAGAAGTTAACTGACAGAGTCCTTATCGTCTCGCATTTTCCATGAGCTATTACTATAAACATAAATAGAACCAAGCACATCTGTAATGAAGTGACACCCATCCACCCTAAAGTCTACAGATATTCCCTAAGAAACAGACACATTTGGCTACTTTACAGTTCACTAACAAGGCAGTGGAAGATGAACCAAAGCTATAAAGCGGGGTGGCCCAGCCTAAGCTGTAACATCCTGGTCAGTTCTCAGCCTCTTAAGAAGACCCAGGTGGCCAAGGAGGGTGGATCACCTGAGGTCAGCAGTTCGAGACCACCCTGGCCAGCATGACGAAACCCCCTCTCTACTAAAAATGCAAAATTAGCCGGGTGTCGTGGTGCATGTCTGTGATCCCAGCTATACTCAGGAGGCAGAGGCAGGAGAATCGCTTGAACCTGGGAGGCGGAGGTTGCAGTGAGCCGAGATCACGCCATTGCCCTCCAGCCTGAGCAACAAGAGTGAAACTCCATCTCAAAAAAAAAAAAAGGAAGACCCCAGAATGGTGCAAGGGTCTTTCCTGGGCCAGCCCAGCCAAGCATTCCTCTCATGTCGTTATCCAAACCTCATTTCCTCCTGGGCATCCTTTCTGCAGTCATCCACCACCTTTTTAAAAGCTCACAAGGGGAAAGCCTGCATCTATTGTGGAAGAAATCTGCTGCTCCGAATATTTTCTTTTAGTCTACAGAGCTTCTCCAGATGAAACCATTCCCTCTCCCCAACCCACTGGGCCCCAGTAACCAGGGCTGTCGGCCCTGCAGGTAGGAGCAGTGATCGGCAGCCCCGGGAAGAAATGTAGCCAATGAGAGACTTGCTTCCATTTCATTTAGAATTGGATTTACTGGGCTACCCATAGCCATGCATCTCTTCTTAATGGCTGATTTTCTCTGGCAAGTGGATCAGGCCTGGGGTGTGAGGTAGAGATCCTGGGTGCGGTGTAGATAGTAGGAGATGCAGTGTGATGACATGAACCCATTTCATTTCAGCTTAAGCAAACTCAGTACCAAAGCTAATAGGAGCTTGCTGTTTTCTTGTCTTATCCCAGAGCTGCTTGGCCAGAAAGGAGTTGAAAGTGAAGGTGAAAAACTTGGTGGGGACATAGCCTAAAAGTAGACCGGGAGAGCATTTCAAAGCATAGCATTTTTGACAGAGTCAGAATTGGCTATTGGCTCTATTAATATTTTTACCGCTATAGCTTAGGGTAGACTGGCAGAGCCAGGTATAAACTGCCCCCTGCTGCCTGACACGGAGAAGTACATGAAAAATGTCGCTTCATTGGTGATTATATTCTGAAATGCCTGCAAGGAATGGAAAGCAAATTAGGGGAACAGCAGGCAGTCTCAGAGACGCCATGGACATCACAGATCAGCTAGATCCTCTCCAGTGTGAAGACGAAGGAAAGGAGAGAGCTAGAAGCAGCTCTTTTAAAAAGTACTTTCCAGATGTAGAGAGCCGCTTCGTTACTCCTTCTGCAGCCTTGTCAGTGAGTAGACCGTGGTCCAGTAGCATCAGTATCACCTGGGAACTTGGTAGAAACACAGATTCTCAGGCCCCACCCTGTGTCAACAAAATCAAAATCTGCATTTTAAACAAGATCCTCCAGTGATACTCACATTTACATTTCCGAAGCCCTTGCCGGGCAGGCGCAGTGTCACATACCTGTAATCCCAGCACTTTGGGAGGCCCAGGCAAGTGGATGACTTGAGATCAGGAGTTCAAGACCAGCCTGGCCAACATGTTCAAACCCCGACTCTACTCCAAATACAAAAATTAGCCGGGTGTGGTGGCAGGTGCCTGTAATCTCAGCTACTCAGGAGGCTGAGGCAGGAGAACCGCTTGAACTCGGGAAGCGGAGGTTGCAGTGAGCCAAGATGGCGCCACTGCACTCCAGCATGGGCAACAGAAACTTCATCTCTACTAAAAATATGAAAAATTAGGTGCCCTCTCGGGAGGGTGATGTGGGAGGATCACCTGAGCCCAGGAAGCAGAGGTTGCAGTGAGCTGAGCCAAGATTGTGCCACTGCATTCCAACCTGGGCGACAGAGTGAGACTCCATTTCAAAAAAAAAAAAAATTCCCTGAACATGACTTCAGAAGGAGCTTTAGCCCTGGACCAGGTCCAGGGTTCTCTAAGGTTTGGATCAGATTGAATTCAGCTTGAACAGTGAAAAAAAACACAACCTAATAGAAGAGATGAATCCTCAAGTTAAATTTGTGAATGCCTTATGTTCTTATTTTCTTAATACTTCCTTTTTATCCATCCTCACATGTCACTAGCTCTTTAACCATAGATACTTTTACTTGCCATATTTCATATTACTTTCTGTATTTCAGTAGCAGCCAGCATTTGCGAAGCAGTTTCTTTCAAAAGTCATTCTGTCCCAGCAAGTGTGTGACAGGCGTCTGATTTGCTCTCTGGCAGCCTCTGTGCTTCCCATCATTCTTGTTTACTTCAATCTTCTCTCTGCCGTGCTTACACCCTGCTGTTATGGTTTAAGAGGAGTGACTTGAGCAAGTCTGCAGGATTGAGCTGGCCCCCAGTGGCATTGTCAGTCTGTTGCTAACCTGGAGTGTTCTTTTCTGCGCCAGGTCAGAGAAGAATGCCGGCTCCTGAACGCCCCACCTGTTCCACCCCGAAGCGCAAAGCCTTTGTCCACCAGTCCCTCCATCCCTCCTCGCACAGTCAAGCCAGCGCGGCAACAGACTCGCTCTCCCAGCCCCACCTTGTCCTACTATTCTTCAGGGCTACACAACATGTAAGTCTTCTTGCCAGGCCCCGCTGCACGCTTATCTTCTCAACCAGCAGTTCATGGGTTCTTGAGAGCATTTTCAGGGTAGCCCTAACTGAGGCAGGGTGGTGGGAGAGGAAATGGCTTTTTAGTTTTTTAAATAATTTCACTGGGTGAGCATGCTGGGGCCCCTTAGCTAGGATGGAAGAGCCAGTGTGTCTTGGGAAGAAAAGATGCCACACCAATCTGAGAAATTCAGAGGTAAAGGCCAACTAGATTCTCCTGGAAACACCCCAGGGGCTGCCGTCAGTTCTCACAGATCAGCATCTAGTTCTTTCCACTCTGACTTTGACACGAGCAGACAGTACCTTCAGCAGACAGCACCTTCGACCAGGACCTGAAATGGAAAGGGTCCCATTGGCTGTCTACTCTGAATCCCCAGACAGGAGTCCCCTTTTGACCATCACTGTTGGGTGGTCATTTCCTTTTGTCTGGATACTTCCAGTGCTCTGAGCTCATTCTTCTACAACACAGCTCATTCCATTGTTGGCAAGTAGCAATACTTTAAAAAAAAAAAAAAAAAACTTTATTATATTGAGTTGAAATCAATCTCTATGTAACTCTCAATCATTTCTTAGGTCTAAAGAAATAAAAATAGGTCCATCCCGTATCTCTTTGTCGACTCATGAAAATTCCGAGTCAGCTGTGATAGAAGTCTTCTCTTCTCCAAAGGAAACATCCGTGCCTCCCTCTGCTGCTTCCCTGACGTCACTGTCAGACCCCTCACCGGCCTGCTCACCCTCCTTTGAGCACACTCTAGTTTCCTGTTGCTCTTAAAACACGGCCCCCCCAGAGCCTCATCCACCACTCCACATGCGCTCGTTACAGTTTAAAGTAGCTCTCTTGGCAGGTATTTTTTGTTCTCTGGACATTTAAATCCTTGTGCTAATGTTACTCGATTGTTCAGAAACCAAGGCAAGGATTAGCATTTTATTCGAAGCATTTCCTCCTACCTCAGACTTTTGGATGGAAATAGAGTCACGGGTGGTGTGATGCCATCATGTCATTGTAGCGCAAGCATGGCAAGCATGCGCCACCCATTTACTGTTCTCTCACTCTACCCTCGCTCACTGCAGACATCATTCATCCATCATGGCACCTGTTGGTGCAGAGCCTACACATGACTTAATAATTTTCCTCATCATAAAGACCCATTTACAATGGGGCACCTATTAACAATGATTTTCTTACTAGGTGAAATACTTGTTTTATCTCCTCTGTAGCATTTTAAATCATTATGTACATATCTAAAATTACCAATGTATTTTATTAAAGATTCTTTAAAAAAAAAAAAACCAGTGAAGTTAGCAGGAACTTTATTGAATTCAAAACTAACTGCACTTTTCTATTCAGCAGTAACATCTATAAATAACGAAAGCCTTGGGATTTGGCTTTTTTCTTGTAACTGATTCCTCTTTGTGTGTTTGCTTTTAAGCAGCGTCACTAAAACTGACACAAGTCCTTCTGAAAGCACTCCTGTTTCCTGCTATCCATGTAACCGAGTGAAAACTGATTCTGTGGACCTGAAATCCCCATTTGGAAGTCCTTCTGCTGAAGCTGTGTCCTCTCGGCTCTCGTGGCCTAATCATTATTTGGGAGCATCAGAGAGCCAGACCAGGAGTGACTTCCTTCTGGATCCAAGCAGGAGTTACAGTTACCCTAGACAAAAGACGCCAGGCACACCAAAGAGAAACTGCCCAGCACCTTTCGATTTTGATGGCTGTGAGCTCTTGTCCAGCCCCCCTAGCTCAGTCACTGCAGAATTCAGTAGCAGCGTCTCTGGTTGTCCCAAGTCAGCCAGCTACTCTCTGGAGAGTACAGATGTGAAAACTCTTGCAGCTGGCGTGACAAAGCAGAGTACTTCATGCCCTGCCTTACCCCCCAGGGCTCCAAAACTAGTAGAAGAGAAGGTCGCCTCCGAAACATCTCCTTTGCCTCTGAAAATTGATGGTGCTGAGGAAGACCCCAAGTCTGGGTCACCAGATCTCTCTGAGGACCAGTATTTTGTTAAAAAGGGCATGCAGGACATCTTCTCTGCCTCCTACCCTTTCTCATCTCCGCTCCACCTCCAGCTGGCCCCCAGATCCTGTGGCGATGGTTCCCCGTGGCAGCCACCGGCTGACCTATCAGGACTCTCTATAGAGGAAGTGGCCAAGTCACTACGGTTCATTGGTTTGTCCGAAGATGTCATATCATTCTTTGTTACTGAAAAGATTGATGGGAACCTGCTTGTTCAGCTAACGGAAGAAATCCTCTCAGAGGATTTCAAATTGAGCAAACTGCAGGTGAAGAAGATAATGCAGTTCATTAATGGCTGGAGGCCCAAAATATAGCCAAATAACCCTCAGCCAGCATGGAACAAAACTGATCAATGCGTGTGCTAGAAGGGGTGGGCTGGGACACAATTTCATGTTTTTGCACTAAAAACCTTCTCTGTAAATAGGGATAAGAGAAACTCTTACTATGCAGATTACGTTTTTGAATGGTGAACAGGCTATTTTGTACATCAATAAAAATGCTGTACAGAACACTTGGAGGTGTGCCTTGTACGTCACTCAACAAACACTCAGCAGCTGCTAACAGGAAAAAAGGCATGTGCAGAGAAGTCATTCTTACCCAAGTAGGTTTAGGCGAGAAGGTATGATATTTATTACAAAACAGCCAAAGCTGAAAAAAATAAAAATCTTAAAAAAAAAAAAAAAAAAAAAAAAACACTTTGAACAACAATTCCCTTCTTTTAGGAGGGTTGACTTTAGACAATTAACTATGTTCTGTGCTCCGTCATTCAGATTGCTTCATGCTAATTGTTTTACTCTTGTGCCTGAAAATGTTAGTGCTATGAATTGACACTTTAATGTTATATGCTTGGTGGGGATCTTTTTATGAGAAGGCATTTTCCAAAAGTCATGTGTTGATAAACGGATATATGTTGTCCTTAGAAATCACACAAATCATGACCACAATAATTTATCTGTAACTGCTGCTAATTTTGTTGAGCAGAGAAAAAATAATATACATATATAAACATGTATAGATGCATACACAATACACCCGGATATGTTTTACACATAATTTTGATTCTGATATTTTAGGTAACATCTGTTCACTTTTAAATAATCCATTGAGGTTTGGGGACTGTTATCTACATTGATTCTCTTAGGATTAGTGGACAGAATGACTCCAAAGATTCTCAGAACCCTGTCACTTGAAGCTCAGTCTTATTTGGGTTCATCACTGAAAACTTAGAACAAGTCAGTAAAGAGTCCTGTATTGAAGAATTAAGTCTGAGTTTAAGCCCACTCACTGCAGGGCTGGTTTTTGCATGTAATACTCCCATGACATCTGGGGAAATGACAGTTTCTGTTGAATTATAATTCTCCGGTTTGAGGGTCTCCTTCCCCTGGTGTCTGATGACGAGAGGTCTGAAGAGCATTTGTCAGCATGCATTACCCTTTCTCAACCTGCTTCATGCTTTACGAGAGCTCAGAAATCAGATGCACCAGCCTTTCTTATTATATATGCCACATCTGTTGAGTATTTTTAAAATACCTAGAAGAGGACTTGTTTATTTCATAAACCACTTCTTCCCTCTCTTTCAAAGAAAATACATTATTACCATACTTTTACATTAGTCTCAGAATTTTTGCTAAATATGATTAAGTATTCCAAAATATAATGGCATCGTCATTATTCTTTTTTAGAGAATATACATCTGAGGATTGTGTTAGTTCTCAGAGCAAGGCACCATCTACTCCCCTGCACCCCAGAGTCTGGCCCCAGATTCCAGACGTGCGGACAGCCCATGACCGAGGTGCACACCGTGCCCTCTTGAATAGCAAGGTCAGCCAGCGAGGCGGCAGCAAAACTTGCAGGATGAACTTACATCTTATCTCTTCCTGCTACCAAAACAAAAAAATAAATTGAAAGACAAGACCCACCAGTCTAGTTTTATAGACCTGTGAAACGTGTCTCTGTTTCTTGGCATTAGAAGAAAGACACTTTTAATCCATATTGAGTTGAGGTGAATTGATACCTAATTTTCCATGTTAGATCTCATTTTCCATCTTAGATCTCCTTTATCAAAAAAAGTATTTTTTTCTCCTAACATGTCTCCCAAAATGTAAATACTATAGGCAAAAAGAATACCCTGTAAAATTCTGACACTGGAGCACCTCCTCAAAAGTCACTGACAAGTCGATGAGGAAGTGTCTGGTACTGCACTCACAGGACTTGAGACCCATGAGGCTTTCGTGTTCTGAAAGCATCCTTCTGTGTGAGGGGAACTGCCTCCCTTAGGAAAGTAAATCTCTCAGAACTTCTTTCTAAAATAAAAACAGGCAAGATGCAGTTACTAAGCTGCAAGTTTTCATTGGCAAACCTAGCTGAATCTGTTTTAAAATACTTAACACTCAGACACGATTCTCAAATTCAGGAAGAAGGAACAGGGTTGGTTTGGGTTTACTATGAAGGTTGCCTCACAAAAACAACTGACTCCTTTTAGCGTTTTTTTGTTTTTATTTTTATTTTTGTAAAAACTACACAAAGTAGGGTTTTAAATTCTTTTTGCTTGTTTGGGACTTGGCGTATTTTTGTCAAGTTTATATTGATTGGCAATGCGGAGACTCCTTGAGGGCAGGGACTGTGGCCTTTGGTTCACTTACGCATGAAACAGTCTAGTACCACTCTACAGTGCTGCCCTCTTGGAGATCATATTGTTTATATTTGAAATCTCAGTTGCTAAGAGTATGTATGTGTGGGTAAGAAAGATGTGAAGTCCTCTGGGCAGCTGGGTATATGGAGAATTACATGTGTCCTGTCTTTAAAATGTCAGCCTCTATTAAGGGGTACAGAACACCCCAAGATCACTAAAACTTGGAATGTGTTGGAGGCAGAAAGTATCTCTCTCACTGCCTAGTGTTGTTGTTTTTTTGTTTTGTTTTGTTTTTTACTGACCTGCAATTCTTTTAATTGTAATAAATATCTTGTGTCATCTCTAAAAGCCACAAATAAATGAAATTGCCATTCCTAAGCCGAGCACCTGTCTATGAAGGACCTTGGCGCCCTGACTAGACAAAGCATTCATAGCTCCAAGAGAATCCTGACAAGATATGCAAAGCAGTGATAATAAGGAGACAGCAGAAAAGTGATGCCCAGATATCCACACACAGAACCTTTCTAACCAACCAGGTCGAGGCTTATCATCTTATGTCCTCTGGCAGGTCCCCTGTAATCAAAAGAGAGGAAGTGTCTGTCTAAACAAGACCCTTTTGGGTCCTTAGATTCATGGCAAAAATCATCATGGCCCCCATCAGAAAAGAAAATCAGCAATAAACCAAGCCAAGCAGCTAAAATGTATAATGTGGGCCTGACTCATGTTGGGAGGCAGAATTCAAACACTCACAGATCAATCTTGCAAGTTTTCTCTTCTTTAAGTTGAGCTGCTCAACTTTATGAACTGTGAAATTTACTTACATTCTTTCAACCCACATATATCATTGCAGTTTATGAAGTTGCAGCGGACTGCCCATTCATCTAAATTGCAGTGTTTATTCTTGTCTCATGTCGAAATACAACAATCTTATAGGAAATATTATGACAGTCCATTCCAACTGTTTTCAGACACATGCATAAACAGTCTCTGCTCACATTCCACAGCCACCTGCATGTTATCCATACAGCTCCCTGAGAAGTCCAGGGATAGGAGGCGGGGTGTGGCAGGATGGAGGGTCCTTCATTTTCTAAACACTTTGTATAAGTCACTACTCATCGTGCCTAGCAAGTATAAGATTAACATTTTGAATAACAAACTGGAAAACAAATAATCCTCTGAAGAACCTAGTGAGCTGTTCAAAGGAAATTTTGATTTCAGTCTACCAGAAAAGTTAAATCTGTTGTTGGACATAGGAGGTTTTCAGAAACATGCCTCTTTTATCAATTTCCACTATCTTTCAAGTTACCTAAAGGCACCAGGCTGCTTGAGCAAGAAGAATAAAAGGCCTAGAGTGCAAATTATGTGAAGTAGAGCTTTTAGATTGTGCGATTGTAATAATATGGGATGCTCATGGTCGCATCATGTTGAATCACACCGTTTAGTCTTCAAAACTTGGTGTTTTAAAATGTGTCTCATTGTGATAGCCAGAAACAAGGAATAAACGTGATTTCAGTTTAAACTATATACAAATATCTTCTGTAATTTTGCTGCTCTAATTTTTAGGCTATAAATTTTGTAATAGAGCTTATCAGATTGCGAATTTCGTTTGTTTACAATCTCACGTAGTAGGGCTCAGATAATTTCTTAGCTATAGCTATAAACCTTTTCTCCCACTCTCATATTAAGTTTCATTTAAAATATTTAAGCTAAGCCTAAAAATTGAAATCAGTTAAGAATTTGGAGAGTTTATCTTAAATGGAAATGGTGTATTCTTTTCAAAGTATTTTGTAACCGTCTTTACAGTTTCTTTGCTTGGAAAACTTGGGTTGTTAACTATCAGTTAACAGTTGCATTACTTTCCAAAACATTATCTAATGGGCCCAATGTGTACCTCAAGATAAACACAGTATGTTATGTCTAAAAATTTCATTGTCTGTTGATTTAAATGGTTCTGAAATGTCTCTAATAAAGAAATTTTCAAAGTTGCTTTTCTTGCAATTGTTCCTCAGTGGTCAGACCTAGTGCATAGTTTTCCAAGGACTTGTTTCCCATCCTCACTTAGGAGTAGGGAATTTGGAGGGAGTCCCACTACTGCAAGCCCATTCTGTATTAATAAAGAGATGGAAGACTGTGGGTATTGTGCATAGTCAGAAGATGCAGGTAACTAGGTAACTTGATGGCATACAGAGAATCCAGTACCTGTGTGGTCAGGAGATAATGCAGAAGATAAAATAGATGAACTGGTGAGGGAAAAAAAAAAAACTGGTGCAAAGATAGTTGTCTCAATTGATCGTTCACTGTCAGTTACAGATCAAACTCCTTGTTCTACTCTTTCCCCACTCTCACTACTGCACTTAACTAACTCTTAAAAACTAAATAAAAGTATACATTTGAATGGGGAAAAGAAAGATAACATAAATTTATATCTCTTCGGCTTACATACAGTTTAACTTATGTAACTAGCAAATAGCAGAGATGGCTGAGGTGGCTAAAGAAAAATTGAGTGCTCAATATGCTGCAGCATCCAATGGGAAATGTTACACAGAAGCTGGAGAATTGCCAGTGGAGTTTGGTTAAGAGAACTTGTAGCATAAGATAGTTTCTCAATATTTTATGCCCCAAATCTTCCTGCCTTCTTTTACTAGACTAAAAGCATCCCCAAATCATTCATTCCATCTTATACTTAAGCCTTCAACCCTTCTTTCCTGTTTCAACAGGGATAAACCTGTGACTAAACCCATACGTGGCCACGTTACTGGATTTCAGGAATGTGTGCTAGAAGAACCTATAGGCTTGACTTAGATTGACCGAAACTTCCCGAGATCTATCTCGAGATTTAGAGTATTTCATCAAGTAGTATACACGAGAGCATTTGACTCCCAAAATTAGATATTGCAAAGTAAATTTGAGTTTAGAAATAAGTTGGGTTAGAATCAGATGTCCTTTGATTCCTTATATGTCTGAAGTTAGAAAAAGCCAAATCATTGAAAACAATAAGTGCTGATTCAATTCTTATTACACTGAAATGAGTAAAAAGATGTGCTCAGCCCCTTCTTGCTTAGGTGATTCATGCACATCCTTCAGGATTTACGAAGTGTCATCCCCAAGCTGATTAGATTTCACTCCTTTGCACTGATATAGCTCTCTGTGCGTATCTCGGTCCCCTGGAAAGCTATAAGCTCTTTGATATCAGGGCTTATGTTTTCATTGTTGTATCTTCAGAAGTAGGTGCTGTTTGAGGTTCTGTTGAATGACAATGTGAAAATCACATTCCTGATGGTGGCCGGTCTTTGTGCCGTCAAGCTCAAGACTGCAGCCATGTGACAATGTAACGAAGTAAGGTCAAATGAGTGATATCAATGAAACTTGTACTCATCATAAAATATCTGAGTGCCTAAAAATGGATGAAATGTAAACTTGTCTAGAAATCCCAGGTTGAGTTTGTATCGCTTCCCAATGAATAAATTTTTCTTAGTTTATTTAATTCAATGACTTCCATTTAATGGCTTTAAAAAATGACTTGAAAGGATGCGTTCCAATAGATTGACTCAAATACTAGCTCTAAAAGACACAGGCAACTGAAAAGTAAGAGAGATGGTTGAACGACCTAAGCTAAGAGTGGTCTCAGGGTCAGAGGCAGTGATAAGTAAAGATAAGAAACAGATTCTGTGTGCTCAGAAACACATGGCCAGGAGACATAGTGCCAAGCATGGAAAATACCATCTGTAGGCAGATTATAGAAGTTTAGAGACAGAGGGGACCTTGGAAAGGATCTGGTCTCCCTCCTTATAGGAATGAAACCCATAGAGGGTGAGTGACGGGCCCCAGACCTCATATGGGTCATGAAATAACCAAGGCTAGAAATAAAATCTCCCGCTTCCCTGTTTTGTATTCCTTCCATTACAACACTGTTTCCCAGTTCCCTCAGCTTTTAGCTTTCAAAAATAACTTGTTTTCTTAGTGCATGGAACGCCCTACCCTGATGCTCCAACTTCTTTGTCTAAGACTGAAAAACAGGACAGTCCTCAGTTGATACTCCTCAGTCAGTGTTAGGTGGAAATCAAGAGAAACCTATGTATGAAATGGAAGTTCTGGGTACATCTGCTCTTTGATAACACGGATCACTCAATGGAGACACTAAATGAGATGAATGGGACAGAAAATGTGAGATTCACAGATAGCACACATTTCATCCAGGCTAGCTGCTAGGAAGAGTTTACAAACTGTGGCACCTAGGAAGAGATGCAGCTCTGTAGCACGAAATATGGCCACAGGGTGTGGAGCTTTTCCACCCAGCCAGTGCCTGTGCAAGGATTACCCCGGTCAACTCTTAATGGAGTACAGTGGAGAGCCAGGGATTAGGAAAGAGTAAAATTTCATTCCAGCCATTTTGGAGGTCTCTCTTTCC